ATGTACTATATAAGTCAACTTATATGATCATTTTAGCCTATAAAGGCTAGTTATAAATCGACTTATGTACTATAGCAAGTCGACTTATAACACTGTAACGGCTAGTTTTCCAGAATGCACAGTTTTTGGGTTTTTTTTGTCTTTTTGCTTGTTTTTCTTGGTTTTTTGGAGTTTGCCTTGTGATCCTATAAATACCCCATGCCTCATAACTTCTGAGCTAACTAAGAAAAATTTAAATCAAGTTTGGGGCAAGTTAGTTTAAGAGTTTTCAAGTGTTTCAAGTTTGGTTTTGTGAAGAAGTTTTCACAAGAGGAAGAAGAGATCATCATTTTGTGTTTGGGCTTTCATCTCATCTCTCTCTCTCTCTCTCTTGATTTTCAGGGAAGTTTATGCTAAACTCATCTCTAGCTTTATTTATATTTGTTTGATCATAATTTCTTAAGCTAGATTACTTTTTCAGTTTGCATCTTATATTTTCTCGTTGATTACACACAACCACTTGAGCTTAAGTTATTTTCACACATTGTATAATTTAGGTTGTGGTGAGTGTTACTTAGAATGTGGGCTTATATTGTTTTCTCATCCATTATAAAGAACAAATCATTGTATTTGAGCTTCATTGTGAGAATCACTTTGTAATACACTAGTATACCGAGAGGAGTGTGTGGTGAGAAACGAGGTCGATTCTAAGAAGAGTGGCATCGGTAGTAAAGCCTAGGGAGAGATTGTAAATCCAAGCACTTGAGGAAGGTGATACAGGCTAGGCCAACAGTTAGACGGTATAGAGTGTGATTGCAAGAGTGTGAGTTGTGAAAGTTTTTGGTGAGCTAGAAAACCGAGATTATGAGGTGTAAACGTTTTCAGTTAGCGTTGAAAACCGGTTATGTTAGTGGATTCTCCTTGGGAGTGGGGAGCGGAGACGTAGGTCGGAAGGACCAAATTCCGTGATCATTTTCTTGAGTTTGCTTTGGTTATTTTCCCACTATCTTGTTTATATTATTTCATGTTTATTTCACCCTTATGTTAATTACATATCCTTGCATATATCTCATTGAATATCATACTTCTGGGATAATTTTTAATAAGTTTTAAATTGGTATTAAATCGGATTAGATTAGCATATTACCCTATTTACCCCCTTCTAAGGTACTTTCATTTGGTATCAGAGCTTGGTGCTATTTGATTTGTGGCTTAACTGCCGTGAGTCAAAGATCCTGGCTTCATATTGTTGCTAATCTAGTTTTGATAATTTTCATCTTGCTTGCATAATATATTATGGATATGCTTAGTACACCTTGTTTAGGCTATGATACAAATGTTGCTCCTTTATTCAATAATTTTCCTTATGCTCAATGGATGTTTAGATTTAAGATATTTTTTAGATATAAACATATCGATTTATGAGAAATTATTGATAGTGCATATGTTGTGCCCACGTTGGAGAAATCCAGTGGAGCAATTATGATAAGAAAATGTTTACTATGAATAAGTTATTGTTAGATTTTTTGCTTAAAACTTTTGAACCATCTATATCTAACAAATTTGTTCATTTTGATAGTGCTTACAATTTACGAAAATTTATAGAAGCATATCAAGGCAACTTGGAGGAGATTCAGTACGCTTTAGCGGAATCAACTTCAAGTGAGAATGGAGCATCATGCACACGGGCACTAGGTGATAGCCCTAGTGAGGTTTGTGAGTCCGAAACCGATTGTGAATTATCTATTATTAAAATCGCATGTGCATATGAAAAATTAAAGAAGCCCTATAACAAATTTCATCATAATTTTATTGATTTGAAAAGCAAACATGTTAACTTGAAATCCGATCATGAGTCACTAGCTTTCAAATTTGATATCATTGCTAAAGAAAACAATGATATGTTATATTTGGAAAATAAAAATTTGAACTCAAATATAGTTAGCTTATCTCATGCTAGAAATAATGCCATATTAGAGGTAGAAATAATTAATAATGAATTTAATTCTTTCAAGATTAATCATGATTGTTCTACTTTTATTAACAATGCTAGTGTGTCAAATGAAGAGTTGAATAATATGAAAAACCATATCTCATCTTTAATTCAACTCTAAAAATATGCATTGTTAAACATAAGAATCCTGTGGACATATGTGCTAAGTCACGAGCTACTATTTCAAAATCACCCACTCACTATGCACATATGTATATCAAAGTTTACAAGTGCTCTATTTGCGGTTGTAAAGTCCATTTATCTAAATTTTGATATAATGCACATAAACACTCTACTATCAATAATCCTACTCCATGTGCATCTCACAAAGTCGTGTCATCATCATGTCACACACATACACATGCACAAAATGTTCATCATAAGCAAGTGTTTAAATGTGATTATTGTGGTCGTTTTGGTCATTTGGCCAAATATTGTCTTGATTTGAAAAAGATTTCACATTTGACAAATGCTTCTAAAAGACCACATGAGTTTAAATGTGATGTTTATAGTAGAGTTTGACATCTTGCAAAAAAAAATTTGATGTGCAAAAATTTTCTAACTTGCAAAATGATCCAAAAAGACCACCTTTGTTTAATAAATTTTCTCATTTGCAAAATGAATTTAAAAGACCATATATGTTTGCAAATGTTCCTTGTGCATAAATTAATGGTCAACATAAGCAAGTGCATCCTTTTCATTGCACCTATTGCAATTGAATGGGTCATTTGAGTATTTATTGCTATAATCGTGTACGTGCACTAAATGTGCCCAAATAGATTCATAACCCTAGGGATTTGAGCTTAAATGATAGGGGTCATGTCCCTAAATCTTTCGGCACCAAAAATACTTGGGTGCCAAAATTATTTTAAACCAAGATTTTTAATACTTTTATTTTACATTTCTTGGTTTTAAAAAAAACATGTTTTTGAATTTTTTTTGAAAATAAAAACAAAATTTTAAGCAAACACTTTTGTTTTTCATTTTATTGATTTTGTCTGTTATGAGAGGTTTGTGTTTGAGCAAACCCCCGAGATTTATTGGTTATTTATTTCTTATTAGGTGCAAAAAGTTTTATATGGGTTAAAACAATCTCAAGAGCTTGATATGATTGATTTATGATTTCATTTGGTTGATTTATTTTTTATTTGTAATTTCATGTTTGTCATGATTCTCATAGCTCTCGTGATTTGATTTCAATTGAATATTTTTTCATGATTCTCATGTTTTTCCACTCTTTTGATTTCATAAATCTATATATTGTTTTTATGTTTATATATTAATACACCATTTTCTAATAATAAATATGTATGTGTTCTCAATCAATCATGACTTATGTTTTGAGAATTTATAAAATTTTGGATTCATTGATAAATCATTTGATTTTTTATTTTTATTTTTAAATTTTTTTTATGTTTTAGACCCTTGTGACACTTTCTCTTAATGATACATATATAAGTTTTTAATTGGTCTCTTTGTATGTGAGTTATGATTAGCATGTTTTTATGCTTACTCACATGTTTGCCTTAGCCTTCATTGCATATTTTCTTTGTGGCATTTTGATAGGGGGAGCTTTCTTCTATATATTTGTTTTATACTCACCTATACATATTTATAAGGGGGCTTTCGCTCTCTTTATTCTTATTTATTTTCCCCATTTTGATGTTGACAAAGAGGGAGAAACAAGTCTATTGTGAGTATATCTTGCTTTGGTTTATGCATGAAGATTTTACTTTTATATATTCATAATGGTTCATGCATATTTAATATATACTCTTTGTGTAGATTGTTTGTCATCATCAAAAAGAGGGAGATTGTTAGCCTCATGGTTATGAGCCTAATTCCTAATCTTGTATTGATAATTACAAATAATTTATAACATTGTACATCGAGTACTTGTATTTGTTTTGTTAGGTAATCTACATAAATATCCTTGTCGGAGGTTGGTTGGAATGAGCCTACACGATCATATCCATTGGAGGACGGAAGGAATGTCGGAATGAAGCCATTTGCAAGTCAAAATCAAATTCAAGATCAAGCTTCATCCTCAACTAAGACGAGCTTAATTGAAGATTAAGATTGCTTGGGTATAGTTTTTATAGTTTAGGGTTTATACTTGTGTGTTAATACTTAGAGCTCAATCTTATACACACATACACGTTTTGATTTTATAGTTTTTAAGTTTGAATATGAAACAAATTTCTTATTTATATACATACATACATGTTTCATATTTATTATTTTTGGTTTTGATAAACAATGTGTTTAGCCACATGAACATGAAAACTCAATACACGTATATAAATATATTTTTATGTTTATATGTGCTTAAGATGATTTTATTAATCAACAAGTTTAAAATCAATAAAATCATGTTTATTTGTAAAAATATGTGCTTAAGATGATTTTATTAATAAAGTCCTTTAACCCATTCAAAATGAATATGCAAGTTTGTTTGTCAAAAACATGTGTTGTTAAGTTTTCATGTTTTTGGACTAGTTTTGTAAAATAATGAGTTTTCACAAATGTGAAATAAATTTTGAAAAATTATTTTTCTAACATGTTACATTACATGTTTATAAGCATTTTCCAAATTTTTATCCTTTTTGGAGTTGTTTTACTATGTCAAATTGATTTTACAAAATCGGGTGTTTCAGCAGTTTCAGAATCTGAAATATCTATGTTTAAATATTTATTTCTCACAAATGGGAAGTGATATTTTAGAAATTATTTCTCTAAATATTTATCTTCATGTATGAAAACCTTCCTCAAAATTTCACGATTTTTGGATTTTATTTGATATTTTTAATTAATTTTATAAAGCCAGCTACATAAAACTTTTATGAACTGTCAAAACCTGAAACTATCTGCTGAGTCGACTTATATGTAACTAGTATTCAACCCGTGCTAAGCACGGCATCCTTAATAGTTTTTTTTTGTCCGCAATTTTTCGTCATCTAATTTTTTGGTTATGTCACGTATCTTTAACATACGTTTGGAAAATATATTAAAAATAGGTATATGCGAACATTATAACTTAATTAAGCTTATCTCATATGGAAAAAGTAAAAAGATTCATAAATAATGACAAAGTGATATATTGTTGATGCTTTAATATATGGCTTCCCCAGATGATCGCAACCGGAGACGCAATCTCCGAAGAAAACTGCAGCCAGCGAAGAAAAACAGATTCCCACCAGAGAAATCATCAATAAAAGAACATCACAGCCACACAACATAAAACAGCCATCAGTCTTAGCTTCATCAATAAATGAACTTCATCGCAAGCTTCATCAATAATTGTTAAAGAAAGAACACCACCACCACTTGATGAAGTTTCTTCAGGCAGCCTAATGCTGCTGTGGCCGTCTCCATCTAAAGTTCCACTGAACTTGCCACTTTCTTCCTTAAAAGGATCAAATGTCAACTCCACCACAATCTTACCCCTGTTCTTTTTATTTTGAGGATCGTTAGGATTCAAGTTCTTAAGAAGATCAAGGGTGAACTCCTTCGTCTCATAAGGAGTGAGCAAACTAAGTGGAAGATTCAAGTTCTTAAGAAGATCAAGGGTGAACTCCTTCGTCTCATAAGGAGTGAGCAAACTAAGTGGAATCACTTGCATTCCTAACTTATCATGCATTTTTACCTGCACAAGGTAGCTTCAGGATTCAGAATAACGTTTACTTGTATTCCTTTTTCATTCCAAATATATAGGAGAATATTATTTAATTTTCTGAATCAATAGGTCAGAAAGATGGTGTTGCTGTGGAAAGAATTTGAGAAGTCTACTTTAGACAGGGAATTTTCGGTTCAGTGTGAAAATTCACTTCATTATGCATCTTGGTAGCTAGTCTGGAAGAAGTATAAAAGAAAGCCAATTATGAGATGTATTTGCTTATCCTCAAGCAATACTACTCTGCAAATGATGACAATTTTTCTACCAGAGTAAACAAATTAACATGAAGATGAAAATAATATTTTTTTAGAATTGGAATTTTAAAGATTGAAAATTTTCCTCGTATTTTACAATAGCTACTCTCAAGATAGGCAAAAGAAGATAAGATGCATACAGGGAACTAAACCTTTTCCCAGGCAAAGACACGCAGCTGAAGGACTTGAGTTGCTGGATCCTTCACAATGAGCATGAAGTTCTCATTCCATTCAGGATTCAAATTGCTCATTTTAATTGAAGTTTTCTTTGAAGGAAGTCCTTCTTCGCTCAAACTGAGTTTAACATATGGATCAGATTTACCAAGAAAAACCATTTTCAGGAGGTTAAATGCACGCACAACCTTTACATGTAATACGCCAACAGGTCTTTTTGTGGCTTCACTGCAAAGATAACAATTGAACATATCAGAGGATGATATTAAGAATTCAAGAAATAAATGAACATCATGTCTCCCCTGTAAGTAATATGATAGCAACTTCTTTAAAGAAGTGACAACACTACTCAAAATTTATCTACGCCCTATGACTCAACAACAAAGATGTAGAAACTGGACACTACCCTTAGACAATTTTGCTACAGCACTTACAAGTATAAGTAGGTATAGGATGATAGCTTATAGCAAAAAATCGCAGCTCAAAAAATAATACTCATAATTGAGGAAGAAAATCAACAATTACTTGAGCAGCAACAATCATCATAGGACAAATAATTGTATTAGTACAAATAATTGTACTGACATAGATATGCATAATGGCATGAAATAAATATATTAGCATTTTATATTTCTATTAAATCCTCAAACAAATATGTTAAAATTTTAGTGACTAACACAATTTAGCTTCATCAACAAACCTATAAAACTCTGTTCAACTTCACGAGTCAACTTAGCTTCATCAACAGAGAAAGCTCTTGCAGATGTTTCTGTAGGTGTTTTCTGACAATCTATTTGTGTATATCCAGTTCCAGATGCAGAAAGCTCTTGCAGATGTTTCTGTAGGTGTTTTCTGACAATCTATTTGTGTATATCCAGTTCCAGATGCGCTACACATAAGGTTAACATCCTCATCACGTTTTCTGACAATCTATTTGTGTATATCCAGTTCCAGATGCGCTACACATAAGGTTAACATCCTCATCACATGACTGAGTGATAGATGTGCATTGTTGTGTATTGCATACAACTAACGTTGCATCGTATATGACTTCTGGACAATTAGGATGATGGTCCTCATCATTGCTCTCCATACTATATGACTTCTGGACAATTAGGATGATGGTCCTCATCATTGCTCTCCATACTCCTGAAACTGAGTTCTAATCGTATGTGAATGTGTGTATATATATAGGTCCTCATCATTGCTCTCCATACTCCTGAAACTGAGTTCTAATCGTATGTGAATGTGTGTATATATATATATATGTGTATAAGAACATATATGCATATCAATAGCATACAGTCTTACTAATCAAGCTTTACGGACAATAATAATAAGAACAAAACCCAAAAGAAATTATACTTGTAGATAAGTTACATAGAAATAGATAAGTATATATCATATTTATGGAGAATATGATAACTCAGTATTACATCTGCTAAGCGTATAACACAAAAAGATAGTCATAATCCAAGCATCTATGTACAAAAGATAAACTTATATCAATATGTATGAATTAAACAGATAACCAAAAAGAAGATTCCAATTCAACATAGATCTTAATAGGAAACAGAGTCATAATGCAGTATGTTTGGACATTATAACAACATTCTTCAAGGCAATATGTAAAAAAGAATATGAATTTGATAATAGACTTACAATGATGAACTCCTAGTGTAATCTGAGATATTGATCAGTACATTGAGAACACAATGTTACACTGCAGAATATAATCATATTAAGGCAATAAGTTTATATCAAATGAGATGAACACAAAAATGCAAACCAAACTGTGTTGATATTGGTCAACAATGAAATGCAATGTTGAAAGAAGTATTGATAAAATTAAAAGCTTATTTCATATTTATGAACTCCTCTCGGACTGAGAGTAAGATATATCAGTCTGAGAACGATGTTGCACCGTAGAATAGATATATATGAAGACAATTAGTTAAATTCAACTCAGATGACTATATTTTAGAATAGGGGTTTATTGATTACTCAGTATTACATCTGGTAAGAGTATAGCACAAATAGATACAGTTATGAAGTGTTTGTTATATATATAATTTAGGATATGGATTTAATGATTACTCAGTATTACATCTATAAAGAGTATAACACAAATAGATATACGATAAAATAACAGGAACATTCCAAACAGGAAGATTTATCTCAAAGTCTATGAACTAAACAAATAACAAACAGGAAGATTCCAATTCTACACAGATGGACAAAGAAAAGAGAGTCATAATACTTAATTTATGGACATTATATCTTGTTATTTCAACACAATATGTATTATAGGAATTTAATATGCTAATAGACTTACACTGATGAAATCCTCTCTGACTGATGAAATCCTCTCTGACGGAGAGTATGATCAGTACGATGAAAACACGCTGTTGCACTGCAGAGAAAATACATATGAAGACAATTAGTTTTAATCAACTCAGATTAAGCCATTTTCTATAAAGTACTCTTGAAAATTCCAGCCATCATCAAGAGTCAAATTATTTTAGTATTGTAACTCCTATTCTATAAAGATACTTTTGCTAGATAGATTAAACAAATATAATTGAAAGCTTATTTCATATAATGTAAGCCTGCATCATACTTATTCAAAATCAAAATAATAAAATCATCCTTACAGATTATATTTGTATATTAAAATATGATGGAATCAAGCATCATACTAATTCAAAATCATAATTGTCTGCCAACACATTCAGATGCACATAATGTATGCATCAAGAACACAGAACATTTTCCCTAAATATTACCTTCTTATTTAGTTCCAGTTTCGTCTTTCTAATTTTTTTCCAATATTCCATTTTTTCCAATATATCCAAATGCCTAAATATTTAAATCCTTGCAGATTTATTGAATTTTCATTATTTGCCTCTTGTTTACGGATGGACAAAACTATAATCTCTGATGAAGAAAGACAGCAGCTCTCAGGTATTATTTCCCTCTTGTTTACGGATGGACAAAACTATAATCTCTGATGAAGAAAGACAGCAGCTCTCAGGTATTATTTCTATATAGCTACGAGGGATCTTTTCATAATATCTCTGATGAAGAAAGACAGCAGCTCTCAGGTATTATTTCTATATAGCTACGAGGGATCTTTTCATAATATTTGCGGTCTTAACAGGCTTTGATGTTCCCTTTGCTTGCCAATGAACAAACACAACATCTCAAGAAAGTAACTCTCTGCGGCATTTTTGGAGTTAAGATGGGCTTAATTAACAATGATCATCAGCCATTGTTAAGTCAGATAGGGTATTACATTATCAGACTTTGTGTCTGGAAAATGAGTGGACTATTTATCATATATGATGCATGCCTGGAGCTACATCATTTTTTTATACTGGAAAATAAGAATTAACAAACGATATGAGATTCCATGCAAAAATAGTACAAAAACAATATAATTGAAACGTAATTGAAATCTAATTTATAATTTTATATTTGATTTCACTATTTGTCAAGAACAGAGTGTAAGCATCAATATAATTGAAATCTAATAAAATCAAAATCCTTACAGATTATATTTGTATATTAAAATTTGAAGGAATCAAGCATCATACTCATTCAAAAGCATAAAAATCAAAATCATAAAACTCATTCATACTGAGTCTTATTTTGTACGCGATCATTGTGAATTTTAGTGATGATTTCAGCATCAGTATCAATTTTATTACACCATGCGGAAGAGGTAATCATGAACTATCAGGCGGAAGATGAAATCAATTTTATCAAACTCAGTGACAAAATCATGAAATCAAGGCAGAGGTTTACCTAAAGAAGAAATCTCTCACACCAGACGCGGAAGATGAACTCAATCCTCTCTATCTTTTCTTTAGGCGGAATAGGGAAGAAGAGGGGAACACCAGACGCGGAAGATGAACTCAATCCTCTCTATCTTTTCTTTAGGCGGAATAGGGAAGAAGAGGGGAACAGGGCAACCGGCAATTTGCTCGTGACCTCTCTATCTTTTCTTTAGGCGGAATAGGGAAGAAGAGGGGAACAGGGCAACCGGCAATTTGCTCGTGAGGTCGAAGTTGAGCAATGTGGCCTTCGTGAGCGGGGAAGATCTCGCAACGTGTCCGAAGTTCTCTCAACGTGGCGAATTTGAAGGAATGGAGGTACAAATGGACGGTTGTGGGAATATCTGTGAAAAAGAATAATTCACTAAGCAATTCTTCCGAACTCAAAGTAGGCGGAAGATTTATAACCTGAAAAAGAATTTCTCTGTATAGGCGGGGGCTGAACTTAGTTCTCTTTCTTTTTAGACGGAAGAGAATGGAAATCTGTAAATGGTTGGAAGCAGAGGAACTGCAAAGTACTTGTGGGGAAGTTGAGCGACGTGGTCATCTTGTGCGGAGGAACATCAGCGACGTGGCGAAATGGCTCCACGTGTGTGAAGTTCTCGCAACGTGGAGTGAAAAAATGGACGGTTATCATTATAAACACCAGTCATAACCAATTTTTTCTGTGGTTAATTGCGTTATCAATGTACGATTGTGGTTTTCTGTGGTTAATTGCGTTATGAATGGACGGATGCGGTTAAATGATGGGGAAAATACGTGGATATTAAAAAAATTTACTGTTCACACAGAGATTTTCCTTTAGTTATAAAGGAAAGTAGATAAGTCAACTTATGTACTATATAAGTCGACTGATATGATATTTTTAGCCTGTAACGGCTAGTTATAAGTCGACTTATGTACTGTAGCAAGTCGACTTATAACACTATAATGGCTAGTTGTCCAGAATGCATAGTTTTTGGATTTTTTTATCATTTTGCTTATTGTTCTTGGTTTTTTGGGGTTTGTCTTGTGATCCTATAAATACTCCATGCCTCATAACTTCTGGGCTAACTAAGAAAATTTTAAATCAAGTCTTGGGCAAGTTTGTTTAAAAGTTTTTAAGTGTTTCAAGTTTAGTTTTGTGAAGAAGTTTTCACAAGAGGAAGAAGATATCATCATTTTAAGTTTGGGCTTTCATCTCATCTCTCTCTCTCTCTTTATTTTCAGAGAAGTTTATGCTAAACTCATCTCTAGCTTTATTTATTTGTTTGATCATAATTTCTTAAGCTAGATTACTTTTGGAGTTTGCATCTTATATTTTCTCATTGATTACACACAACCACTTGAGCTTAAGTTATTTTCACACAATGTATAATTTAGGTTGTGGTGAGTGTTACTTAGAGTGTGGGCTTATATTGTGTTCTCATCCATTATAGAAAACAAATCATTGTATTTGATCTTCATTGTGAGAATCACTTTATAATACACTAGTACACCGAGAGGAGTGTGGTCAGAGACGGGGTCGATTCCAAGAGGAGTGGCATCGATAGTAAAGCCTAGGGAGAGGTTGTAAATCTGAGTGCTTGAGGAAGGCGACACAGGGCTAGGCTAACACTTAGAGGGTGTAGAGCGTGATTGTAAGAGTGTGAGTTGTGAAAGTTTTCAGTGAGTTAGAAAACCGAGATTATGAGGTGTAAACATTTTCGGTTAGCGTTGAAAACCAGTTGTGTTAGTGGATTCTCTCCGGGAGTGGGCAGCATAGACGTAGGTCGGAAGGACCGAACTCCGTGATCATTTTCTTGTGTTTGCTTTGGTTATTTACCCACGATCTTGTTTATATTGTTTCATGTTTATTTCACCCTTGTGTTAATTACATATCATTGCATATATCTTATTGAATATCATACTTGATAGAACAATTTGTTAATAGGTTTTAAATTGGTATTAAATCGGATTAGATTAGTATATTCCCCCCCCCCCCCCCTCTAGGGTACTTTCACTTAGAGCCAAGGGGTATACTTGTCTAACTAGTACTTATTTTAAATGTCTAATAAATATAAGACCTGGGCATCTCATTGCTCAATTTCATGGGACAGAGTGCTACATCAAGCCATATCTCCCTTGCAACTTTGCACAATAGTTTAGGTACGACCAACTTTATATTACTAATCCCAACACCGAGTTGCTGCGCTCGAGGGATCTGATAGACGAAGCCCACACCTCGTATCACTTCACTACTAGATTTATTGCTACAAAGTTTATCTTGCCATACAAAATCCCTAATTGTTATATGACTTTTGAGTTTTATAGATGGTATAGCGCAGTGAGCGTCATCATCCCGCGATTCAAGATCAACAAGACTGGTGTGATGTGGGTCATCTAGAAGCACAAGGAAGCTTCTAGGAAGGGATCCAAAAGTAGAGTGCTTAGGCCATGAATATCTTGTAGAGATTGGGTGAGAAGGAGACGATGATGATGACTTGGACGCACCTGTCGAGCGGTAGCCTCTGCGTAGGCCCGTCAACATTAGTATATGAGAAATGTCAACCCACCTTGAAGTTACATGAGGAGATACTCATAGGAAGAGACTGGGACATCCACTGGACCCTCAAAAATAGTCCAAGCATCAATGCTTGGAATCGCCAGTAAAGGAGAAATCTCCTAAGGCCCTAACACAAGGATTAGTGGCTGAACATGCAGCTACCTTAGGTAAGTTTCCTCTTTTACCATCATTTCACCTTGCCAAACATCATGTGCTATTCTTTGTAGATGATACATTTTCATAGCTGGATTGGACTGATTTAGGGGAGGATGAGAGAGTTGACTGCAACACTGATGCTCATATCACTGACCCTGATGATTCTGGTCTAGGGATGATGTGGGTGGATCTTCCCTTATTCAAGTATAATTTTGTCTGTTGGGTTAGTGTAGTCACTTTGGTTTGATGATTAACACTTCAACTATCTCCTTATGCAGGTGATGAACCTAAATCGGGAGTCGGTTTGACTATGAGTTCCATGACTACTCTCATTTCCAATTGAGAATTTGTCGATGCCCGAGTCTGCTAGGGATGCGACAGCTTCTTAGCTCCCCAGAGAAGCTAAATTAACGATGAGCTTGCGATTGTGACTATAATGACAACCTTGGTTGTACGACATTCTGAGCCTTTCGTTATACCAACTCTAGCTTCTTCTACACTTGCTGATGTTTCAAGCATGTTGGCTTCTCTTGCTCCACTTTTCATGCCAACTGGGGGTCAACTTCTAACAACTTTCACTTCTCCTCTCGTTACCACTAAGGCTTTGATCATTACAACTAAAGCGAGCTACTCGAGGTAAGTGATGGTTGAGGTTCCCTTATCTCTAGACTCTAATGATCCAGCAAAGTTAGATATCCAGATCTTAAATGAGAACATGATAAAGCTATTAAGTCAGAGTGTTGCAGAATCAACTTGACATTCATGTGTCTGCTAGAGCTAGGTGTGTTGAGCCTTATTTGAGGATGATTAACCAAGTGGAACTACACTTTTTGGAGTTACAGAACCTTCATGAGGCCAATGTCACTGTTGCTATAGAGACTAATTTTCAGCATCTCGTGGCGCGACAGCGCAAACTTGAGGAGACAAGCAAGAATAAGACGAAATAGTTAATCAAAGTCTGAGGGAATTGATCACTTGTCTTGCCACCATCGACAATGAAAGTGTAGAAATTGCTGACGCCATTTCTAACGGATAGGTCATCACTATGAGGCTAAGGCTACTATAGTCGTGACATAAGCCAAGCTAGAAGCGGCCTAGAAGCAAAAGGAGGAGCTTGAAGCTAGAACTGTAGAGTTAGTTGATGAGAAACTCAGAAGAGAGAGTGCTTGCGCAAGGAACAAGCTTGATTGGATGTGGTTGAGGTCCAAGCGTCTCTAGTTGGCATAGAGGCTCTGTGAGAACAAGCTACGAAAGAGGGCCATTGACGTGCATGAAGATGAGATGGCCAA